TAGGGGAGGCGACGGACTTCCGGCAAAGGCGAAGCAGCGGCGTCCGGCGTTTGGCGACGTCCTCCGTTTGGCGTGGCGGCGCTGCACCCGTCGGCGGTGAGCGACGGCGGCTGGAGGCGAAGGAGGCAGCGGCTGGCTTCCGGCGACGGGCGACGACGGTCTGGCTTGCGCGACCGGCTGGGCGGCGGCTTCCGGCGGCGAAGTTGGCCGGGAAGGACGAAGAAGAAAGAAGAAGAAAGAGAAGAAGAAGGAAGAAGAAGAAGGAGAAGGAAGAAGAAAAAGGAACGGACGAAGAAGGATAAGGTTTGAGTGGTTTAGGTTTATTTAATGGTCCCATTCCAAAAAGGATTGGGCTTCGGACCCAAAATACCTGATTAAATGGTCATAACTTGAGTTCCATAACTCCGATTCGCGAACCGTCTGAACCGACGCGATCACAAAAATATTTCCTACGAGATGACATAAAAGTTGGGCTTAAAATCCAAATTATAATTTTTACCCCTTATTGGGCCCAATTCGTAATCAATTGCTCTAACAATTTAATTAATTCTTTTGGGCCAGGTTTCGGGGCGTTACAACAAGCCCAATGAGAAGAAGCGGAATCCTCCCGACACCGATGCCCGACTTGATGTGAGCATTTAAACTATGATCGGGCGGCTGTATACGCTTCATTACTCAACGACTGCTTCAATACTCCGTGTGTTTACACACCAGAGGATTCTGTAATTGTTTTCGGATGAGCTAGTTGTTCTCTATTTTTACACATACTCACTGATATTGAATATATTGCGAGGTGCCTTGGTTCACCCAATGCTTTGATGCGAGAGGCCGGTGCGGTTTTAGCAGCATCTAGAAGTGCACCTCCATGCTTCGTCAGATGGCATACAGGATATATGACATCTGGTATGTTCAACGAATACTTGAAGATGTCGCCTCGGAGCATCAGGTCAAGTGTTTATAAATTTTCTAAAGCTATTATTCGAATTTATCATAAAACGTATTTATGTAAACCGACATCGAGTAACATTGAGCAGTTGTAGGCTAGGCATGCCGCTAAAGACGGCTTTGTCGGCATGCTTGGGAGTATCGATTGCACGCATTGGGAATAGAAATATTATCTCACTACGTGACATGGTCAGTTCTCCCAGGGTGATCATCCCAAGCCTACTATCATACTCGAAGTTGTGGATTTGAATGACTTATGGTTTTGGCATGCTTTTTTTAGTGTTGCCTGCTCGAACAATGACATCAATGTTCTTGATCAATCGCCTGTTTTTGAGGATTGGATTAATGAGACTACACACGGCTCGTCTTTTGAGTTTACAAGGATGCTTTACAAACGTGGATATTATCTTGCGGGTGGAACATATCCAGATTATTCCATGATTGTCAAGCCTCTCTCTAAACTAATATGTAGTAGTTCTTAAACGCCAGACCTACAAAAAAGCTCATAATGCAGCAAGAAAAGATATCGAATGAACTAAGCCATAGGGGTGTTGAAGGGTAAGTGGCACATTCTTGATCATCAGTCCAAGTGTTCACTACGCCAAAAACATTATCACACGACTGTTGATTAACTACTGTTAATGGAAACACAGTAGTTGGAAAAAAACATACTACTGTAAGTTTTTATTGGCAACACAACAGTAGTCTAGTTATTATGCTTTAAAACTATTTTTAAAGTTTCGAGAAACGGTAATCTATCACTAGTTGTCTGTGTCAGTTCAAAATACAGTTTTTGTTACAACAGTTGTCAATAACAAGTTAAGAATACTCTATCTAAACAGTAGTCTGGTGTTTTTGTCTAAAACTGTTTTTAAACTTATTAGAAACAGTTATCTATCGCTAGTTGTCTGTTTCATATGGTTTTTTTGCCACTGTTGTTTCTAATGGGAATAGAAGACTCTTTTGTAATAGTAGTCTATGAAGTAAGCGTAGAACTGTTTTTAAAGTTGTGAGAAACGGTAATCTTTTATTAGTAGTCCGTTTCATCTAAAAATACAGTTTTTGTTGCCACGGTTGTCAAAAATTAGTTAAGACTACTATTTCTTAATAGTATTCTGGTTTTTTAGTGTATAACTGTTTTTAAACTTATAAGAAATAGTATTCTATTGTAAGTTGTATGTTTCAAATGGTTTTGTTTTGCATAGTTGTTTATTATAAGAATAGAAGACTCCCTTGTAACAGTAGTATATTTATATAGCGTAGAACTATTTTTTAAATTCATAGAAACCATAATCTATTACAAGTTTTCTATAACAAATTAAGAATACCCTTTTTAAACAGTAGTTAGACTATTAAGCCTAGAACTATGTATAAAGTTTTGAGCACTACTACAAACATGACCTTACATAGCAGATAAATAAGGCTTTTCCCACCGTAAAACAACCGCTGTCTATGCAACCGATGGGAAAAGTCTCTTGTTTACATAGTGGAAAATTTTCGCTGTGTAAGGTTTACACAGCGGATATTTATTCGATGTGTAAAGTTTACACAGCAGATAATTATCCGCTGTGTAAAAATTAAAGTTTTCCCATCGATTTCATAGACAACGGTGGTTTTGCGCTTTATACATCGGAAAATTATCCACTATGTAAACTTTACACATCAGGTAAATATCTGTTGTATAAACAAAAGTACTTTCTCATTGATTGCAAAGACATCGATTGTTTTTTATGGGAAAAATCATATTTATCCACCTTAAAAATTGCTAGTTACACACACACACACACACATAATATATATTGTAACACCCGCCTTCCGTGGACCCGGTTCACCCGCGACCCAACGGACCGGTAGGGTTACATGGACAGTCCGAGAACCATCCGTTACGGAAACATAAATGTTTATTTAATAAGAAAATGGTTGGGTTCTAATTAAAGGAATAAATGCCGGGGAGTTACTCCCAATACGTGTGTAATAAAAGTGCAGAGTAATTGCGGAAGTAATTAAATAAGTTCAGTCCAAATTAAATAACGACAAGGGTGGGTTCATGCCCAATTGATTAACGAAGTTACTGAAAGTAATTAAGAGTTCGTCCGTGCGCCGCCCGTCTCCCCATCGTCACCGCTCTCCAGGGTTGGCACCTGCTCCGTCATGTCTACCTGCGTGTAGCAAAAACAACTACACGCTCAACAAAAGCTGAGGAGTGAATCTAACAAAAGAACATGAAGTGATAACCCATGTGGCTATACCCATATCAATACCTGTACTTAACGTACGGGACACCACACGTTACTAACTGTTTAGTTTTCACCTGTTAAAGCTGTTTCGAATAACAAGGAACATAATGATGATGATATGACTTGGTGCATGACTTAAACTATCAGGGACACCCCTGGCTTAGTCTCACTCGACAGGATCACCCCTGCACTCCGGTCATCGT